AGATACTGGTCTGTGTGGGTTGGTTTCCTGTACACTTCAATGTTGAGGCTGTCCTCTCTCTCCATCTGAACCAAACAGTCCAAAAAAGGCAGCTTGTTGTCGTTTGCATCCTCTCTGGTGAACTTGATGTTGTTATCGACCGAGTTAATGTGTCTGGTGAACGCTTCTATTTCCTTGGCTTGGATTTTGACCCAGGTGTCATCCACAAGCCATTGGTTCCGTTATGTGGATGACAGCTGCAATCATGACATGCTGTGGTCTGTTTAAAATATTGCAAGAGTGTGGAAGGGTTTAAAAACGCCTAATATATATATATATATATATATATATATATATATATATATATATATATATATATATGTACACACACACACAGTAAAAAAAACTTACTACTTATACTTCTATCCCTAGCGCAGGGCTTCAGGGTACGGATCCCCCATGATAAAGGAGGGACTACTGTAATGAAAAAAAAAAGTTTTGGCTTTGTCAAAACTGTTCTAACAAAAACACTGAAGTACCCATGCTGCACCACTAGGTGGCGAGAACGTCTACATTGAGAGCATATTAAACTGGAGAAATTGCATTTTTTCCTAAACGCACTGTAAACACTGAGTTCAACAACTTTACTGGAATTTACTAAAGAAGCTGAAACCAAGTTGGTAAAGCTAAAAGAAGAACACTATCTAAAAGCTAAACACAGAAAAACCCTAGCTAAGAATAAAAATAACAAATGACTGGAAAAAGTGGCAAAATGCTAACACAGCAAAAGACTAGCTAAAGGTTAAGTAGCAAAAGGAGTAGCTTAAACCTAAAAGTGCCCAAAATTAGGTTAAAGTGAAATAAAAGTCTCCAAAGGCTATCTAAAAGCTAACTCATGAATCACACAGAAGTCAGAACTGAAAATAATCTTTTTGTTTTTCACTTGCCTTAACATGAAGCTGCACATGTGAAATTTAACAACAGTTCATATGGATAACTACAAAATGCAGTTGCGTTTTCTGCATCTCTGCTTCTAAAAGAAGCAAAAGGCTAGCTAAAAGCTAAAAAATAGCAGAAGAGTAGCTACAAACTAAACGTAGCATCCAAAGACAAAAACAGAGCAAGCATGCTGGAAGCAGGTTTTTACATTGAAAACAGTTCTTGAAGGAACTGAATAGATTATTTTTCTGTTTCTATGGAGAAAATATTTGAATATAGATACATTTTTAAAAGCATCAAAGTTACAAAAACTAAAAGTCAAAGCACCCATATCCTGAAAGAAACAATTATTTTTTATAGAACTGTAATGGCTAAAATAGCCCAAAGCATGCAGAGTTGGGATGCATGAAAAAACTAAAACCAGGCAAATATTAATGTTAATGATGACTTAACGGTCACACAAATACAATGAACACATTATAATTTTCTTCTCATTATTTGACATTTTAGCAAATAATTTGATTACTGACCACAAAATAAATAAATAAAAAAGAAAAACAGAAATACAGTTTCTTTATTATTTTGTTTTCTAGATCACTAAATGATAATAGGCATGTGCAAAACAATCTGCTGCATTATCTAAATAAATACTTTTCTATTGAGTTTGTGAGGATTTGTATTCCCTAATTTGTCGCCCCCTTGTGGTCTACCCCAGCTCCTGCCGCTTCCACATGTTCCTGATTAGCGTCTCCCCAGGTGTTTGTCATTGTCTGTTCGTTAACATCTGCGTATAAGTCAGCGTCTGTGTTCCTTATTGTCTGTGCATTGTCCTGTATGGAGTCCTGGGTTTGTCTCCCTCCGTGTCTTCCCAGTGAATATGCAAGTTTGTTGTACGTCAGCTCTTGTTTTATCATTTGTTAAATATATATTCTTCATTTACTCCTCGAGAACTTTGAGTCTGCCTGAACCTTGGGTTCACACGCTAACAAAACCTGATAAGGGGTTTCGTGTTTACATCAAAAATACATTTTTCAAAAATTGTTTTTTTCTCAACAAAAATGTAGACGGGATGTCACGGTTTTCAGGCAAGGCAGGACAGGAAAGAACCCACTGGTGCAGGCAGAACTCGGAGGTCAGGTCGTAAAATAATAAAACACTTTAATAATCAAAACAATAAGCTGACATGACAGCAAAACTTAACTGACCAGGATCAGGTCAGGATAATACAAGAAACGCAGAAGACAAACCAGGAGGTGTACCAGACGATGGACCGACACTGAACAGGACTCACAGACAGACTTGTATACACAGACAAGACAGGATACAATTACAAACACCTAGACGACACTCGGGTGGAACTGATCAGGGCAATTAAGGAGCGACACTAGGGAGTACAGACACAGGGAGACCAACAGAGGGATACCATCCTCCACAGGAGGCGCAAACACAGCAGAACATGTAAAGTTTTAAAAACACATGGACAAACATTGTTTTTTTGGTTTGTTTTCTGAGACAGGATTACCTGCAAATCGTTTTTTGTATAAAATTCCAGAAAGGCCCCCACAAGTCACCGGGAACATTGTCTTGCTGCAGGCAGGGCTGGACTCTGGCTGCTCATCCTGATCCTCCATTTCTTCATCTTCTTATGCGTGAGGCACGTGGAAATAAATCAGACGTAAACAGCAAAGGTGTTTCAGTTATTTCTTTACATTTCTATTGTTTTTGCAGAAGAACATGTTGTGGAACTGCACCTGTATCATCTGATGAATTTTCTGTTTCGCTTGATAAAACCTCATGTTCCTGATAACCCTCTTCATCCTCCTCATCAGACACTAAAAAAAGAAAAAGATTTTAGCTAACAAAAACGACAAACTGGAAGCTCATTCTGGGACGATCTTATTCTCAAATATGTGAATTTGAACGTCAAACGTTTATAGGCAGAACGTTAGCGTAGATACCAATGTTCAGCTCGGGTCCAGGTTGTTTCAGGAGGAGGGGCATGCGGTGTAAAACAACTGCCACGTCTTTCATGCGAATTAAGTTGCTGTGGCGACCCCTGCAGCGGGGGGCAGCTGAAAGAAAAACATTTTGGCGTCGACACTCTGTGTACAGCATGGGTTTAAAACTCTTATTGTGAAGCATTCTCTGCAAGTTCTCATGCAATAAACCACACCTCGGACAGCTTCAACTAAAATATTGTTATTTTATAGTTAATAATTTCACATGAAACAGTCGGGTTCAGTAAAGCAGGTTTCACTTCCTCTGGCTGATCCATGAAAAATTATATTTTTCCATCAAATAATTTGAATCTGTTTAGTAAAATGAATTTCAACTTTATTTTGTCAATCAAATGGACACTTTAATGTAGAAATAAAATAAATTAATTTAAAAAAAAACTTTCCTCTCCATTATTTTTTCTTGGGAGTGACCCTAAGACACCATCATAGGTTTGGTAAACAGCTTTAATCTGTAATATCAGATTTATAGCTTTTATCACACAACAGTGTCCAGTCCTGGCCCTAGAGGGCCACCATCCTGCATGTTTTAGACTTTACTCCAACACACCTGATATGTATCAATGGATGATCAACAGCTTTCTGCAGAACACGAAGTGGTAAATTCAACCCCTGAACTAGAGTACCGTATTTTTCTGACTATAAGGCACAATATCAATGAACATGTTTGTTTTCATACATGAGGTGCAATAAGTAAAACAAAACAGTCAGATAAGTCAAACTTTATTCAACTCGTTCACAATAACCACATAAAATCAGTTCGAGGTCATCAAGCACAACCAGAATTAATACATAAGGTGCACCTGATGATAAGGCTCACTGTCGATTTTTGAGAAAATTAAAGGATTTGAAGTGCGCCTCATAGTCTGAAAAATATGGTAATTGCATTTCCTGCGAAAATGCAGTGTGAATGCTTATGGATGAAGAACTTGCTGAAAAACAGCTGAAAGTAGCTAAAAAGTCATGCTGAAATGTAGATGAAATGAAAGAACAAGCTTAATTAGCAAAAGAAAGCAGAAAGAACAAATTGTTGGCGAGTTAGATTTAAATGAGCACAAAAATTTGGAAATTTGCTTAAAAAACTGAAATTGGTTAAAAAAAATAGCTGAAAAGGCATAAAGAAGCGTAAACTAGTGGAAAGAGCTGAAATGAGCCCAAACAATGTGGAATTAGCTGGAAAAAAAAACTAAACTTAGCATAAAAACAGCTAAATAGTAGCTACAATAGAAGAAAAAGCTGAAAGGAGTATAGCAATCTGAAATTAACAGATAGAAGTAAATTAATTTAAAAGTAGCAGAAATTACCACGAAAATCTTGAATTTATGTGAAAACAGCTGAAATTGGCTACAAATGCTAAGTGTAGCTGAAAAGGTAGAACAAGCTTAAATTAGCAGAAGAAAGTATGAAGAACACAATTTTACACAATTAGGCTGAAAGAAGCAGAATCAAAAATGTGGGTGGGGTAGGCGAAGCACCCACACCTGCCCCCACCCTCAATCGTCCCACTCTGGGCCCATGAGCAAGGCCCTTAACCCCCATCTGCTCCCTCAACAGGTTTCTCTTGAAAATGAGTGCTTGTGGCTCAATGAGACTACCTGTATAAATAAAGGCTAAATAAAAAAATAAAAAGTGGAAATGATCTGAAAAAATCTGAAATTAGGAAGAAAAAACACTGAAAATAGCTAAAAAGGTAGAAAGAAGCTTAATTTACCAGAAGGAAGTGGAGAAAGCACATTTTTTGCTGAATTAGGCTGAAAAAAATTTAAATGAGTGCAAAAAAATGTGGAATTAGCTTAAAAGCTAAAATTAGCATAAAACAGCTAAATAATAGCTGAAAAAGCAGAAACGTGCAGAAATAAGCTGAACAGATCATAACAAGCTGAAACTAGCAGAAAGACATTAGAAGAAGTACAAAAATGTTGAAGTTAGTAGAATGAAGCGGAAAGGAGCACAAAACAGCTTAAAAACAGCTGTACGTAGCTGAAAAAAATGTTAAATTTGCATAAGGAAGCTGAAAGAAGCTGCAGAACAAAATGTGAAAGGAGCAGTAAAAGATTGTAAACAGATCTAAAGATCTGAAGGATGTAAAATGAGTTCAGTTCATTTTCTATGAGAAAAAAAGTGGCAGAAAAGGCTAAATATTTCAAAAAGCTAAAGTTGCACCAATACAAAAGTCAAAGCACCGTTCTCCTGAAAGAGCTGAACGGTTTGATTTATGATTTGTTGAAATAGCGAAAAATTGTGGAACAAGAAAGATGCTGAAAAACACATGGAAGAAAAATGGATCACAATAGTGTGAATGCTTCGTCAACATTCACACACACAGGTAGGTTGGAGCAGGAAAACAAGTAAACATGCACGATGGACAAGGATTGGACACCCCTTCACCTAACAAAATAAAAGCACTCGGTTTTAAACTACGTGTCCTTCAATAAAGCAACAAACCTGTGTCTGAATGATTGGAGGATGACTGTGGTTTCTTGGTCTGGCAGGAAGAAATGAGAAGATATTGTTCATAGTAATTAATTACAAAATAAAAAACAGCAACAATTGGAACTCGAGAGTGTCTTCATCAGTTTGTTACCTGTTTACTTTGTCGTTTGTACCTTCCTGGCATCAGGTGCCCCCCCTTGAAGGAATCCAAAAGAATCAAATCAGCGAGTGAGTGAAGTAGTTTAACAAACACGAAAAGTTCAATCTCTGGTCTAAAGTCACTTTTCACCGAACCTCTATCAGAATTTTTAAAGGGGTGTCTTCACATCGGATACTCAGCTTCCAGTTCTTGGTGCGTTCCTTCCCTGCAAACCTCTCGAATTCACCGGGAGTAAACCACTTGTTCTTCACCAGAATGCATCTTTCCCCTGAAATATTCAGACAATGCTTTCAGAACAGGAAACAAGAGAAACTGAAAGGCAGGTCTGGAGTGTCTCTCCGTTTAGAGTCTCCTGTCACATCCAAAGGTATTACTCTGTTGATCTGCACACAGCAGAAACTGGAACAGGTTTATTGATTCAAAACATTAACACTTGTAATGGATTTAGCAAACTGGAACTTATCCAAAATGAAATGAAATAATTTTTAAAGAGCCGAGCTGTGATTTATTTTGTCAGAACGTGAAAGGCACAAAAATAGTTTGGGCCTGAAACTGAATCCCCTTTTTCACACTGAAGGGAGATAAAAAGTCAAGATTTGCTGATCCAGCAGAGAGAAAATACTCTTTGTGGAGTCTCGACATGATCTCAGCAGCTGAACCCATACAGGCTGGTCTCTAATCTCACAGAGCTTTAGAACTTCTTGTACCTTTTCACTTATTTTAGGTATTTTTGAAAGATTTATTCACAAATATATTTATCTTATTAAGCATGGGCTGATTACTAGGATCAAGGTATATCATTAAAAGTCAGTGTCCAAAGAATGACATTTTTCATACGTCATACTGTTCCTGTGGTTTCAATGCCTTTTGGTAAGACACCAGGTGTCATGTCTACTCATTCAGTTGTGTAGGCTACAGCTGCAGGGGG